GGATGGGTGATGAGTCCAGTAAGCAGAGACGATTAGCCAGCAAGGGAACGCAAGAAACGCTCACCTGGAGGAGCTTTGGCCAACCTTAGTGCGGCAGCGCATGGTGAATCCCCAGCGCTTGCGAAACCGTTGGCTCCAGCGGCTGGACGCCTGCCAATGGCCCTGCGGCTGCTGCTTGCGCATGTAATTGAGGCTCCACTCACGGATCTGTTTCACGCCGACCGCCAAGCCGAGTCCCCGCTGGTCGCAGATCCATTTGTACAGCTTCTCCTCCATGACAGGGTGATGAGCATGCCGCCCCGCATTGTGGAGTCGCTTGCGACACTTGGCGGCACCCCTGTATCGCCCAAGCATCTGCTGGTCCACCCACCGCTTGATGGAACATGGGCCCACGCCCGCCTCCGCCGCAGTCCGCTTGAAGGACTTGAGCTCGTAATAGCGGCAGGCCCATTTCGTCTTCTCTTGCACGGTGAAGCTACGACGACACTTCTTCGAGAGTCGGTTTCGCGGAGACGGCGGCTGGGCATCAGGATTCTTCTCCTGCGGGTCTTTCGACTTCCTGCCTTCAGGGAAGGTGGGGAGCGGGCCGGCTGCCTCTTCATACTGGTCGTCAGAGTTATCTTTGGGGACCGCGTCTGGAGTAGATACGCCAGCCCGCTGTGTGGCCTTCCGGGGACCACGCGGTGACAAATTCTTTCGCTTTGTTGACTGTGGGATGTCGTCCACCTTAGATTTGCCCTTCTCCGCTGCTGTGTATCGCTGCCGCTTGGGAGAGACTTCGTCAGGTTCTGCACTCCGGTTCTTCTTTGTTGCAGTAGCACCGTTCTCGCTGCGCGGCAATCGCTGCTTCTTCACCTTGGAGTCAACCAGCCACTTCACACGGCGCTTCTCGATCGGAACGTTTTCGTCACTCATGCCGTCGCCGTGGCTCACGTCGTCGCCGTCGCCGTGGCTCCCGTCGTCACCGTCACCCATGTTGTTGCAAGCCGCCTCGCCGTCATCCCCGTCCTCCACCTCCTATGCTGCACCCTCCTCGCCTATGCCGCACTCCTCATTGTCGTCATCACGACCGTATTCCTCTGCGTAATCACCATCATGCTCTTCACCGCCTGCCATCTCGCCCGCTTGGTTATCATCTTCATCCTCCTCGCCAGCAACCATTCCTCAACCTCCTCCGCGGAACCGATGGGTTTCGCCCACCAGTCGTCGTCAGAGGCGTTGGCAGAGCCGCCGTCCTCAGCGTTGTCGTCCTCCCCCTCGCCCATTCCAGCCATCCCATAGTCAGGCGGCGGCAACGAGGGTTTCTTGGCAGGCAAGGCCGAGGTTTTCTTGGCAGCGGTGTCTGGGATATTCAGCGTATGGCCAGGGGAGTTGTGGCGCCCAAAAATGCTCACATAAATGCGGGGTGGTGAGGGATCAGTTCCGCGCTGCCTAAACCCTGACGCCTTGTCCTGAGGTGGATGCTTGCTGCGCATGGCGGCACGCGATGACACTAGCCGAGCTGAGGCAGGCTAGAAATCCGAGGCATGGGAGGAAGCGTCGCTAAGGCAGGGGAGGACGCTGAGCTAAGGCAGGGGAGGACGCTGAGCTAAGGCAGGGGAGCAGATTTTCGAAGGGTTGGCTGGCTGGCTGGTGTATGTGTAGGGTAGGGTTGCTGGCTGGTGTATGTGTAGCATTGACTTGTTTGGTAGGGCTAGGGCTGTTGAGAACGGGAAAGCATGTGCTGGCTGGCACAGCTGAGAAAAGGGCATTTTTTTAACCTGGAATGCATTTCCCCCCCCCCTGACCTGAGAGTATTCATCATGTAACCTGAGTTGATTCCTCAACGTGTTATGCGGGCCACTGTTGCAGAGCAGGTTTCACCAGGATGGTGATAATAAACTAGTAAAGAAGGGCCTTGATCCATAATCAGTCACCGTACTGTATATGTCCACCATGCGCAAAATAAACAGATGAACAAGATCTACAAAAAAAAAAGGGACAAATCAACTGCAAAACAGCTGTATCCACGAGTAGCTTTTGAGGCGCCTCAAAAGCAAATGGACCGCAAAACAGCTGTATCCGCGAGTAGTGGTTGAACAGAGCGGCTAGAGGCGGAGAATGGTTCGGATAGTGTCTGAGAGATTGTGGATGATGGCCTTTTCTTGCGTTACTTGCCACCCTTGTAGAGGCATCTCGTCCAAACACCTTAGGGAGTACAGGCACAAGGGGTTAGGAAAGGGAAGGGAAGGGAACGAGGAAAAAAATGGCAGAAAGCGGAGGGTAAGCAAGTGTGGAAGGAGAAAAAGAAGACGAAGGGTGGACGTGTTGGCACGTGAGCAGAGGAGCACTTGGGCACATAGGCAGGTGGGCACCAGTGCTGATCATTGGATTTTCGCTACTCTGAAATCTGGCAGTGATTTTTATCGGAACTCTGAAAATCAGAGTGACCTCTACGTTTTCCCTGAATGGTCAGAGTAACCCAGTATTTCTAAAAAAAAAACTCTGTCAAGTATGTTCTCTTGTAGACGCCTGCAAATGCATGGGTCATGTCACGTGTGTCTAATTGCCTAATTCATACTTGATCACATGCCATTTTGAGGGAGCTAGGGCCGGCATGGGCCGTGTGCAAGAAGGGTGCGGGGCACGAAGGGATTGATTGGTGGTGCATCACAATTGCGCAACTGGGGAGAAGTGGGGAATGGTTCGGAAACGAAATTGAAAGGCGCGGGGAGCGCCTATCAAGTTCGCACACGCTGGTTGGCGGGGGGCAACCAGTGCCATCCACAAAAAACCCCCTCTTCTCCACACCCCAGGCCCTCAGATTCGTTTTAGGCTGCACTGAATTTTCAGGGTCGGTACACAAAGGCACCCTGAAAACATCCTCAAAATCAGGGTTGGTACTGTTTTTTTAACTAAACCCCGGTTTTCCAGATTCCAACGCTGATTTTTCAGGGTCGGTACAGCAAAACACCCTGGAAATCAGCAAAATCAGGAAAAAAAAATCCTGAAATCTGAGGGCCACAAACCACTACGCAGGAGCACACATCTCGTGGAGTTTTCAGTGGACCAATCGGCGCCCTCATACAAACTGCGCCATACATCACATGGTGAATCTGGCTAAGGGCCAATTAGCGCCCTCACACGGCATCCAACAAACTTTGCGTTGTGAGGGCGCTTTTAGGCCGTTAGTCAGATTATACACATCGGACGGTGATTTCAGTTGAAGGGCCAAATTTTACCCTCACACACGCTCTAGCAGCATGCATCGAGAGCTGATTTTGGCTAAGGGCCAATCAGCGCCCTTATACAACAGCCCAACAAGCTTCGGTTTCAGTCCGTCATACTCGGCATGGATTCGGGTCCACGTATGTAGACAGGGGGGTTCAAGAAAAATCTGGAGGTATCCCCCTGTACAGAAACCACAGGGTGGTACAAAGAAAACTCTGGCTAATCAGAGAAAATGTATTATCTCAAAAACTTTACCCAAAGGCATAAGGGTGGTACGTAAAATCATCTCTGAAAATCAGAGAATCAGAGTAATTTACTCGTGAAAAATAGGGACTGGTGGACACATATGCAGTTGGGCACATAGGCAGGTGGGCACATAGGCAGGTGGGCACATAGGCAGGTGGGCACATATGCAGGTGGGCACATAGGCAGGTGGGCACATAGGCAGGTGGGCACATAGGCAGGTGGGCACATAGGCAGGTGGCACATAGGCAGGTGGGGCACATAGGCAGGTGGGCACATAGGCAGGTGGGCACATAGGCAGGTGGGCACATATGCAGGTGGGCACATAGGCAGGAGGGCACATAGGCAGGTGGGCACATAGGCAGGTGGGCACATAGGCAGGTGGGCACATAGGCAGGTGGGCACATATGCAGGTGGGCACATATGCACATGGGCACATATGCACATGGGCACATAGGCACAGGGGCACATATGCAGGTCGGCACATGGACAAACCAGCACATGCGCACACGTGCACATGGGCTCATGAACCATGGCCCATGCCGAATGAACATGGCACATCATGATAGCACATTCATACATGAGCAAATTAGCACATTTACACAGGAGCACATTCACACATGATCACATGAGCACATTCACACATTCACACATTCACACATGAGCACATTCACACATGAGCACATAAGCACATTCACACATTCACACATGAGCACATGAGCACATGAGCACATTCACACATGAGCACATGAGCACATTCACACATGAGCAGATGACCCATAAACATGACGTCTGAAATAGCACACACCCCATGGCTCATGACCATGAGACAGCCAGAGCAGACCATGTAGGTAGACATAGTAAAAATGCGATGCGACTTATCGCGCATTATATCGCGGCGATGCGATAAGATATCGCATATCGCGTTTTGGGTGCGATATTTTCAAATATCGCACTGTAGAGTGCGATATATCGCGCGATGCGATAAGATATCGCATCGCCAGGGCTAAATTTCAGTCAAAGTAAACTACAGTAGCAATTTGGATAGGTAGCTAACTGGGAGGTACCTATGCTAGGGAAGCGGGAGTGGAGGTGTGGCTAGGTGGCTAAGGGAGTTCCAAGGGTTAGCATATTGTGTTTGCATGCTAGCTTGGGAATGGGAGTGAGTTGGTGGTGGGAAATGAGGTGGGAATGTGTTGGGGTGGGGTGGGGGTTCTCTCAAAGAGAATTTGTCGCAGCCCTTTTTGGGCTTCGTTTCCCCCACCCCCAAATCTGCCAATTTCGCGCGCGCGACTATGTTGCGCAAAACGCTCTGGCAGGCGAGCGTTTTGCGTTTAAACGGTGGCGTTTCAACGCAAAACGCTAAAACGCTAGAAAAACGCAAACGCTCAGGTTTTTTTATTTCGGGGCAGCCCGACGAAAAAAAACAAAAAAAAACACGAAAAAGTCGCGCGACAGTTCACAATGTGGCGAATCCAACCAGGAACATTGTGAAATCTAATGAAGGTTCAATGCCAACCAAACACCTAAAATTGCTTCAACCACTCTCCGCCCCATCTCATCTAGGAAACCCAACCACCACTCCTCACATACTTCTACTCACCAGAAACAGGTCGATCGTACAGATCTAGCGACCTAGGCGCTCCTCAGCGCTTCCTGCTGCACTGTTAGCACTACTTAATTGCTACGATATTGACCTAGACAGCAGTCTCTAGTCTAAGAGCCCTGCCCGACTTAGCGTTTTCCTGGCGTTTGCCCCCCGGCCCCGGCTCCTGAGCGATTAGCGTTTAAACGCTAGCGTTTAAAACGCTAACCGCGTTTTTTGCAACATAGGCGCGCGATACGCAGAAGTATCGCGCGCGATTTTTTAAAATCGCATATCGCATTTTATCGCGCAAAAAAAAGCGCGATAAAAACGCGACATCGCAAATATCGCGCGATATTATCGCATCGCATCGCCGCGATATTCTTAAAATAAAAATAAAAATCGCTATCGCAAAATGCGATATAATGCGATGCGATGCGATTTAACCATGTCTACATGTAGGTTAAAACAAAGAGCATCACACGATTTTTAAAGATCTTCCAGATCCATTCATAAACAGATTTCACACAGACAACTTGTGAAGAGAATTACGTACTGTTTGTGATAGGCCAGAGCCCTGGCGAGATTTGGAAGAGTGGTGCTGTTGGCTAGTCTGCGGTACACACTGGGAGGGAGGGGAACCTGCAGTGCAAAGTTGAGTAGTGAGAGGGAACAGAGAATTGGAAGCATACGGTAGGGCACATTGGAAGAGTGGTGCTGTTGGCTAGTCTGTGATACACACTGGGGGGCAGGGGAACCTGTAGCGCCATGGGGTGTAGTGGGAGGGGGTAGGGGATTGGAAGCATGCGGTAAGGCACATTGGGAGATCGTGGTGATGTTGGCTAGTATGCGGTAGACATTAGGAGGGAGGGGAACCTGCAGTGCAATTGGGTATTGTGGAGATGGGGGGGATTGGAAGGGGCACGTCAGAAAGACTTAGTTGGCAAGACTGCGATACACACTGGGGGGCAGGGGAACCTGTAGGGCAATGGGGTGTGGTGGAGATGGTAGGGTGGGGGATTGGAAGCGGCACATTTGAAAAGTGGTGACGTCAGCTTTTCCATGATACACACACGTGATATAAGGAATCAGGTTGAGACGTCTCAGAACCAACCTGATACGCACACACCAGGGGCAAGGGGAATCCGAAAAGTGGAGGGTGTTTTCGAGATTTCTAAAAAACACCATACGTGCACACTGGGGGAAAGGGGAATCTGAAAAGTGGGGCGCCATAGGAGACAGGAGAATAGACGGATCAGACATTCGATGAGGATTCTCGGAAAAACTAGCACTGTACATGGTATCACTCTACTGCCCTCTCTCATGGTAACATGGATCACCTCCAGCCATACATCCTACTCCTTTCCCCCAAACCTCGGGGTTACCTCAGCAGCAGGGGTTCTCTCCTTGCCCCCTTGCGGCCTGCAAGCCACCATTCCCCGACAGCTCCTAGCTCGCCTCCAGCGTCCAGAGCGCACTGGTCAAAGGAGCCCGCACTACTATGTGCCTACTACCCATGCCAGGCAATCTTATGCTCCCACCAGCCATCTCACCTCAGTAGCAGGTGTCCGTCGAGCGCCTATGCTCCCCGCCAATCCACCACTCCCCGACAGCTCCTGAATCGCCTCCAGCCCGCACTGGTCAAAGGGAGCACCACCTTCCCATGTGCCTCTGCCTGGCACTACCAAATCCCAAGGCATTGTCCCTGCAAGCTCACCTCAGCAGCAGGTGTTCTCCTTGCGCCCTTGCGCCCGCCAGTCCACCACTCCCCGACAGCTCTTGAATGGCTTCCAGCCCACACCGGTCAAAGGGAGCCCCGTCCAGACCCGATGAACTCAACTCTAGGCCTAGGCTCCATGTTGGGTGGGCTCACCTCAGCAGCAGGGGTTCGTCTAGCGCCCTTACTCCCCGCCAATCCACCACTCCCTGAGAGCTCCTGAATCGCTTCCAGCCCACACTGGTCAAAGGGAGCCCCGTCGGGGCCCGATGATGCGATGAGAGCCAGGGGGGAGATGTCGCACGCTCGGAGGAAGGGGATGGGAACAGTGTTGCCGGCTGCGTACACCGCTGATAGCTGGAGAAAGAAGGCGGGGGGAAGGGGGGGAGGGGGGGAGGGGGGCGAGACATGAGGGTTGTGGGGATACGGGGGAGGAGGAGGGTCAAAGGAAGTACTGTCGGGGCATGATGAGGCGATGAGATGGGATCCAGAGGGAGAGGAGAGATGTCATGAGACGCTCAGAGGGGAGATGTCATGAGACGCTCAGAGGGGAGATGTCATGAGACGCTCAGAGGGGAGATGTCATGAGACGCTCAGAGGGGAGATGTCATGAGACGCTCAGAGGGGAGATGTCATGAGACGCTCAGAGGGGAGATGTCATGAGACGCTCAGAGGGGAGATGTCATGAGACGCTCAGAGGGGAGATGTCATGAGACGCTCAGAGGGGAGATGTCATGAGACGCTCAGAGGGGAGATGTCATGAGACGCTCAGAGGGGAGATGTCATGAGACGCTCAGAGGGGAGATGTCATGAGACGCTCAGAGGGGAGATGTCATGAGACGCTCAGAGGGGAGATGTCATGAGACGCTCAGAGGGGAGATGTCATGAGACGCTCAGAGGGGAGATGTCATGAGACGCTCAGAGGGGAGATGTCATGAGACGCTCAGAGGGGAGATGTCATGAGACGCTCAGAGGGGAGATGTCATGAGACGCTCAGAGGGGAGATGTCATGAGACGCTCAGAGGGGAGATGTCATGAGACGCTCAGAGGGGAGATGTCATGAGACGCTCAGAGGGGAGATGTCATGAGACGCTCAGAGGGGAGATGTCATGAGACGCTCAGAGGGGAGATGTCATGAGACGCTCAGAGGGGAGATGTCATGAGACGCTCAGAGGGGAGATGTCATGAGACGCTCAGAGGGGAGATGTCATGAGACGCTCAGAGGGGAGATGTCATGAGACGCTCAGAGGGGAGATGTCATGAGACGCTCAGAGGGGAGATGTCATGAGACGCTCAGAGGGGAGATGTCATGAGACGCTCAGAGGGGAGATGTCATGAGACGCTCAGAGGGGAGATGTCATGAGACGCTCAGAGGGGAGATGTCATGAGACGCTCAGAGGGGAGATGTCATGAGACGCTCAGAGGGGAGATGTCATGAGACGCTCAGAGGGGAGATGTCATGAGACGCTCAGAGGGGAGATGTCATGACACGCTCGAAGGAAGGAAGGGATGCTGATTGCTTGCAGTGACTGTTGCTCATACTGCCGATTGCTGGAAGATGAAGGGGTTTTGCAAGGGAGTCTATTTTTGAGGCGCCTCAAAATCGTGTACTGCTACTAATAGCCGGGAGATAAAGCGCTTTTGCAAGGGTGGGGACGGGGGGAGGGAGGGGGGGATTTCTGAGTTTATCATTTCCTAAAAGAGAGATGACGATATGGGAAGAGGCGATCAGGGTGAGGTGGAAATGCCATGCGTGCAGAGGAAAGGGATAAGACCCGCGATTTTGGCAGTGAAAGCTGCTACCAGGTCTGAGCAGACCATACCCTGCAGGCCCGGACTGGCCCTCTGAGCGGGCCTGGCCCTATCAGCGACGGCCTGCCTTGTCCCATCCTCCATTGCCTGCCGTAGCCCAGCTAAGAAGTCCGTGCCCCTTCTACCTCCACTTCTTCTCACGCTATCCTACACACCACCACCACTACATACATGCACCGAACCTTATCTTGCGATCCAGGACTGGCCCTCGGAGCGGGCTTGGTGCTATCAGCGATGGCTTGTCTCGTCCCATCCTCCACTGCTTGCCGTGCCCCGGCAAAGAAGTCAGTACCCAGGCCCCCTACTACTCTCTCTAACAGGACCTGTACCTTATCCTGCAATCCCGGACTGGCTCGCTGAGCGGGCTTGGTGCTGTCAGCCATGGCCTGTCTCGTCCCATCCTCCATCGCCTGACGCGCCCCCGCGAAAAAGTCCGTGCCTTTCCGCCTCTTCGCCTCGAGCTCCATCCCCGCTACTGCAGCTTGCTTCGGGGGGATGGGGGGTCGCTCCGACTTGCGAGGAGGGGCAGACCTGAGAAAGGAAGAAGGAAGGGAGAGGAGGGAAGGGAAGGGAGGGAGGGGGGGATGAGGAGGGAGGGTAGGAAGAGGAGGGAGGTGGGGGGAGGGGGTAGAAGGGGGGTGTTTGCTGTGTTTCGGCAAAGAGATCTGTGGCCTTCATCCTCTTCGACTCTAGCTCCCTCCCCGCTCCGCTAGTGCTGCCTGCTTCGGGGGGTGAAGGGGGGCCGTTGTGACCGGCTGGGCTGGCAGGAAAGTTGGTTTTTGAGTTGACTTAAAAGACACTTCGGGGGAAGGAATGGGGGCCGTTGTGACCGGCTAGGCTGGTGGGCAACTTACCTCAGAGGGAGCGGGACGAGAGGTAGAGAGGTGACTTTAGAGTCGACTCAAGAGCGGGGCAAGAGGGACAAGAGGGGCAAGAGGGAAGGAAGAGCACCGAAGCACGTGTAGGTTGTAGCATACTTGGCCTGAGAGCCCGGATACCAATTGGCAAAGTAGAAATAAATAGCCACAAACTTAGCCTGTGCCGGCTTAGCCTAAACTACTCAACCACGGGTTGTAGCATACTTGGCCTGAGAACCCTGATGATGCCAACTGGCAATGTAGAACAAAATAACGCCACAAACATACTTAGCCTGTGCCGGCTTCGCTCTGCGCTGCCCTACCAAAGCTGCCAGTACCGCCCCGATGTTATCTGCAGACGACTCTACCCCCTCCCTCTGGCTTGGGCTGCCTCCCTCTGGCTTGGGCTGCCTCCCTCTGGCTTGGGCTGCCTCTTGGATCTCCAAGAAAATTTTCTATGGGAATCCCTAATGCCACTTACCTGGCTTGTGCGGGCTTCGCTTTGCGCTGCCCTCCCATGGCTGCCAGTGCCGCCCCGATGTTATCTGCAGACGACTCTACCCCCTCTGCTGCTGACGTGGCAGCTGCTGACTTGGCGGACGGCTCGTCTGACCGGGCGACACGCATGGTGCCGGTGTCCATTGCCTCGTCAGCAGAGTCGGAATCCTTGTTGACAAACGTGCCGAAATCTGTGTTGGAATGGGGAGGTACGAGGGGGACGGGGTAGGGGAGGTTAGACGGGGAGAATTATCCGCATGGTGCCGGTGTCCATTGCCTCATCAGCAGAGTCGGATTCCTTGTTGACAAACGTGCTGAAATCTGTGAAAGGATGTGTAGGTTTGGGAGACAGGGAAGAGGAGGGGGGGGGGGGTGGGGGGGGAGGGGCGGGGGTGTGCATGGTGCCGGTGCCCATTGCCTCGTCAGCAGCCTCAGAGTCCTTGCTCACAAACGCGCCGAAAGCTGTGTGCCAATGTGCTCAAGGCTGGAATGTGAGGCTTGGCTGGGTTGCGGGGGATTGGGGGCGAATGGGGGGGGAATGGTGGGGTTGGGGGGCTTGGGGGGTTTTGGTTTGGGGGGAATTGGGAAGCGCACTATACCGGTGTCCAATGTGCAAGTAGTTTCGTTTTGAGTCGACTCAAAACGAAATAATGCGGGTGTCCAATGCCTTGGCAGCAGATTCTGATTCCTTGTCCACCAACGTGTGGGGCTGGTGGGAAAGATGGGGCGAAAAGGGATGCCGAAGAAATCCTTATGTGATCTCACATAGTAATGATGTTCATAATACATGTTTTTAACTGCTCATAATGATGTTTATAACGCGTGAGCGCTAAGTCCACTGCTCATACATTTTAGCATGGTTGTTTGACGTTCAAAGCATACATGCATGTGTTGCCCACGAACCAGGGTGTATTCAAGACAGCACCCACCAGTGTCATCGTCGTCAGTATATGCAGATGGAGCAGAGCGGGCTTTAACTGTCCCTCCCATGGCGTCGCCCCTCTGCCGCATGGTGCCTGTGCCCATGGACTGATGGAAAACGGAGGGGGGGAGGGGTGGAGATACAAAGTGCGTGTATGGACTGGTGGGCAGTTCCCCCCTCCCATGGCGTCTCCCCTCTGCCGCATGGTGCCCGTGCCTGCGGACTGGAGGGGAAAGGGCAAGGGGTAGGAGCAAGGAGTAACAGCGGGAACAGGGAGGAGAACATACATCTCCGCCCCTCTCTCCCATGGCACCGCCCCTCTGCCGCATGGTGCTTGTGCCTACGGACTGGTGTGGGTGTGGGTGTGCGTGTGGGGGGGAGGGCGGGGATCAACTTAGCATCAGCGGCATCACTATTAACCCTCGGCTGCATGGTGGCTGTGCCCGTGGACTGGGGTGGGTGTGTGTGAGGGTGTGGGTGTGGGTGTGCATGTGGAGGGGGGGGGGACGGGGGCGTAATTCAATATGGCATCAGCGGCATCGCATTGCTATTAACCCTTGGCTGCATGGTGGCCGTGCCAGTGGACTGGTGTGGGTGTGTGTGAGGGTGGGGGAGGGGGGGGGACAATATGGCATCAGCGGCATGAATATCAACCCTTTGCTGCATGGTGACTGTGCCTGTGGACTGGCGCATAAAGGGGTTGAGGGGGGTGCAGGGAAGGGGAAAGAGAAGAATATGAGCGACACCCCCTGCAGTGTCGTTGCATCGATCGATGAGCCACCCCCTGGCCTGTACCTGTTACTCCACACACGTAGCCCTATTTGTAACCCCCTATTCATAACACTCGCGTAACCCTATCGCTCCAGCCACTCACATCCTCAGACATGCTGAGGACACACCTCTGCTTCTTCGCCTCTTCTCGCATCGATTTTGCGTGACACGGCCAATGCGTGTCTTGAGGACCACTGCAACGTGCACGCTTCGATCGATGATTGTCTGATCGAAGCGTGCACCCTACATGCGGGCTATGGCCTGATTGATCATGATGAAAGGCCGCACACCCTGTATCTATGCGCGCCCAGAGGTGGCGAGGACCAAGCCCACAGCCATCAAGGTCATCCTGCCCAACCAGCCTGGATACTTCAAGCCACTGAGCAAGAATCACCCAGGCACCATCGGTAAGGAGATTGTGGCAGTGACCTGAGAAGGCTGAGGTAATGCTTGAGGATAGACATCTCAGATCACTGCCACAGATCTCCTTCCAGATGGTGCCTGTGTAATTCTTGCTCAGCGGCTTGAAACATCCAGGAAGGTAGACGCGATGACCTTGATGGCTGCAGGCTTGCCCTCCACACCTCTAGGCCCGTACAGGTGCAGGATGCACGTCCTATCAACAAGGTCAATCATACCACTGTCTGTTGTAAAATATATATCTATACAACATGCATGCCTAGATTAGGAGGTGTAGTCATTATAAATATTGGGGGGTTGTTGGTTGGGTTGACCAACCCCACATTTGGGTTGGTCAAGATTGGATTTGGTCCTAGACATTTGGTTGGCACTATTCCAACCAAATGGTCCTTGGTCCTAGGAACCAACCAATCACCAAGCACCACACTTTGTGGTTGCTTGCCTTCCAAGCAATCTCTCTCATTGGTCCACATTGTGGCCAATCAGAGAGCACCACACTTTGTGGTTGCTTGCCCTACAAGCAACCTCTCCCATTGGTCCACTTTATGGCCAATAGGAGAGCTTCCCTTCCAACTCTTCCTTGCTCCTTGTTTTGTACAAAAGAGCCTCTTGGCTCCCTACTCAATCAATCTTTTCTCTTCCAAGCTATTTCCTTCACTGTCCGCACTCCGAAACGCTGTTCTGCTCTTCCAAAGCCGTAACCGGTATCGCAGTTTCTTCGCCTCCCCCCTCATAGATTCGCCTGGTCGATGCTCGTTTTCAGCACCACCGCCATGGTCTCTCACCACTCGATGCTACCCCCTGGGCAAGTAACTCCGATAGAGCATCACTTAGGCGCCATGACTTTACGTGGCAGCGACTTGAAATGCTTAGAGTAGCAAACAACTTGCTTGCTTGTAAAAAATCCTTCACATAAAAAAGTGGTGGTAACCGGTTTCGGCTCAAGGCCTTCTTCAGCACCACCGCCATGGTCTCGCAGCACTCGATGCTAACCCCTGTGCAAGTAACTCCACAGCACCACCAAGACACTCACATCCTCTGACACTCACATCCTCTGACACTCACATCCTCTGACACTCACATCCTCTGACACTCACATCCTCTGACACTCACATCCTCTGACACTCACATCCTCTGACACTCACATCCTCGGACACTCACATCCTCGGACACGCTGTTCTGCTCTTCCAAAGCTGCAGCCGCTAACCGCTGCTTCTTGGCCTCCTCCCTCATCGACTTGGCCTGGTCAATGCGCTTCTTCAGCACCACCGCTGTGTCCTTGCACCGCTCGATGAACTTGTGGTGCAGCAGCGCGGGGGTGGTGGGGCGCTGCTTCGGCTCCTTGATCAAACACTTGGCCACGAAATCGTGGAAGAGAAGGGACCTGGGAGGGAGGGAGGAGGGGAGGGAGGGTGGAATACAGGTGGGTGATGGGGATGGGCTGCTTGGGCTCCTTGATCCAACACTTGGCCACGAAATCGTGGAAGAGAAGGGACCTGGGAGGAGGGGTCATGAAGGGTATGGTATGGTATGGTATGGTATGGTTGGAGGGAGGCAGGGAGAAGGAGGGAGATGCTAAAGGCAACAGCTGCTTGGGCTCCTTGATCAAGCACTTGGCCACGAAATGGTGGAAGAGCAGTGGCCTGATAAGGTGTTGGGGGGGGGGGAAGTTTTAGCAATTTCAGCTCACAACGTTCCTCTAGGATTCAGTATGACATTGGTTGCACAACGCAATATGATTCTAACTAATGCAAGGGATAGTTAGAAAGGGGTTTAAAACGAAATCATGTCCGGTTGGGAGGGGAGAGAGAGTTACCATTTCTCAGGGTCCTCTAATGTGGGGGAGGGCTCTCTTGAAATCATAAAGAGCACCTGAGAAAGGTGAAGAGGGGTGGAGAAAGGGAAAATGTGGAGGAGGTGGGAAAATAAGATGAGTAGAGAGGATTCCCAGAAGGGATAGGTAGGGATAGGCACTCCAACGGATGTGGATGGCAGAGAGTGGATGAATGAAAGAGCGACTGTCACAAGAGAGCAAGGTAAAAAAAAAAACGGCGTATCAAACTTTTTTTTTACCTTATAAAACGGGATCGTATAAAACGGCCGTTTCATATGACTAAAACGGTCAAAGGTGGTGTTTTGTGACTGGTGCAAAAAAACGGTCGTTTTATACGGTCGAGTTCTCGTACCGTCGTTAAAAACGGTGGTTCGCTTTATATCAAGGATGGTGAGGAGTGTGAGGAGGACTAGGAGAAGGAGGAGGGCGACTAGGGCGCGGAAGGGGAGGACTAGGGTGAGGAGAAGGAGGACTATTAGGAGGAGGAGCAGAGCCGGAGTAGGAGGAGGACTAGGAGGAGGAAAAATAGGAGGGTGAAGGGAGGACTAGCCACTAGACCGAGAAGGACAATGAAGGGAGGCCTCGGAGGACGTGGATGGTGTTTTATATGCATGTAGGATGTCGCCGCTGCCAGGACCTCTGTTTTCCCGCGGTTTTTTAAGTTTAGGGTAAAAAAAAAAAAAAAAAAACCAGGAAAAAATTCTAACAGAAAAACGGCAGAATTTGCATAAATCTGCCGTATAAAACGACCGTAAAAAACGGACTGTACGGAAACTGTTTTTTTGCACCTTGCAAGAGAGGACTCAATCTCATGGGATGGATGTTGGATCGCGGCTTTTGAGAATTCTCGAGAACCAACTCAGAGAGCAACTGTGACCCTCATGGATGAGGATGAAAGCACAACTGCGCGACTGTGGCAAGGTAGGACTCACTCTCATGGGATGGATGTTGGATCTCGGAGGTAGGCCCTGCACACGAGGTGGTCATGGTGTGATGGCGTGACAGAATGGGGAGGGATGGCATGGGGAACATGGCATGGCATCGAGAACGTGATTGAGTGCTAGCATTGCATGCGTACGGTATGGTTTGGAGGTGTATAGAGGAGTGCTTGCGCACAAATTACCACCGCAACGTGCTGTAACAAAGGTGCGATTACAACAACAACGACAACAATGGCAACGGCAACGGCAGCAACAGGAACAGCAACAGCAGCAGCAGCAGCAGCAGCGGCTGCGGTGGCGGCGGTGGCGGCGGCGGCAGCAGCAGCAACAACAACAACAGGAAAAAGACGAGGAGAGTGGGCCTTGACGTTTGACGCGAGTGTGACCATGATGAGCACCTGCACGTGTCGGCTGCTCACCTGCAATACCACTGGAAAAGCCCACCTCGGCCATCTCAATAGCAGTGATGCCCAGCGCCCACACGTCCACCTTGCCATCGTAAAGACTCTCCTGGATCACCTCCGGTGCCATCCAGTGGGGCGTGCCAATGAACTGAGGTGAAGGTGAGGGGAGGGAAAGGGGTGGGGGTGAAGTGAAGGGGGGGGACAGTAGTGTGCTCACATAAACTTCAACACGCGCCCTCACGTCCACAGTGTCATTACATATACTCTCATAGATCACCTCTGGTGCCATCCAGTGGGGCGTGCCGATGAACTGAGGGAAAGGGGGGGGTTCGAGCATAGAGGGCGTAAACAGGCAAGTGCCGGTTGCTGGTAGGTGCCTCAAAACAGGCCCACACGCACGTCCACCGTGCCGTCATACATGTTAGAATATTCCCCTATTCTATATTAGCCTACATCGTTTATAAGGCTTAGGTCAGTGTAAGCAACCTATCTCTACTAGGGTGTAGTAACCCTAGGTTGGGGGTTGGCTTCCCACCTTGTTTGGGTTCCAAACCTTGGCCATTATTGCCCCCCCCCCCCCCCAATGGGCTTGACCTCCCAATTATTGGAGACCCCAATAATCCTACCAAGATTATTGGACCCTCCAATAATCTTGGCTGGGATTATTGGACCCCCCAATAATTCCCAACTCCATTATTGGTGGGGACCAATAATCTTGGCCAAGGTCCCAACCAACCCCCCCCCTTTCTTACCCTCACACCTATGTATACCCTCATTTCTTCAATAACATCATCAACTTCTCTTCTCACAATACACACTCTCCTGGATCACTTCCGGCGTGCTATCCAATGGGGTGTGCCGATGAACTGAGGGAAGGGGGGACGGGTTGTGGGAGAGGGGAAGGGGTTGGGGGGGGGGGGGGGGGAGGGGGGGGTGTGCCATCACCCACACTCCCCTGAATCACCTCTGGAGCCATCCAGCAGTGCGTGCTGATGATGCAGAGTGTTTTTGAGAAGCACCCTGTTGAAAAGGAGGAGCAGGAAAGATAAGAGCAATTCTCAAAACCCCTGCTGAATTACCTCTGGAGCCATCCAGTAGTGAGAGCTGATGAAACGAGGGAAGGGGGGTACGAGCGCAGGGGGGGTAAACAGGTGTAGCGCTTGCACATGGTGCATGTGAGCTGTGCTGTGCCGCCACCCCGGAATCGCCGAGCTTGATCTCCTCTCAGTGGCTGTCAGTGGCTGTTAGTGGCTGTCAGTGGCTGTTAGTGGCTGTTAGTGGCTGTTAGTGCCTGTTAGTGGCTGTTAGTGGCTGTTAGTGGCTGTTAGTGGCTGTTAGTGGCTGTTAGTGGCTGTTAGTGGCTGTTAGTGGCTATTAGTGGCTGTTAGTGCCTGTTAGTGCCTGTTAGTGCCTGTTAGTGGCTGTTAGTGGCTGCTAGTGGCTGTTAGTGGCTATTAGTGGCTGTTAGTGCCTGTTAGTGCCTGTTAGTGGCTGCTAGTGGCTGTTAGTGGCTGTTAGTGGCTGTTAGTGGCTGTTAGTGCCTGTTAGTGCCTGTTAGTGCCTGTTAGTGCCTGTTAGTGGCTGTTAGTGCCTGTTAGTGCCTGTTAGTGGCTGTTAGTGGCTGCTAGTGGCTGTTAGTGGCTGTCAGTGGCTGTCAGTGGCTGTTAGTGCCTGTTAGTGGCTGTTAGTGGCTGTTAGAAGTGACTTTTGAGTCGAATCAAAAGTCACCTCACCAAGCTTGATCTCCTCTCAATGGCTGTTAGACGAATGTGTTGCCCTTTATAAAGGCAACCCATCCCTCCCCCCCCCCCCATGTTGCACTTGTCTAAGACACCCCACCCACCCCTCGCCTCACTGTGTTGCGTTTGGACATGCTGTGCCGCCACAAGGTGCCAGCTCACACCCCAACCCCCACCCCCCACCCCTCACACACCCCACCCCCCACATTCCCCTCCCCTCACTGTGTTTCTCTTGGACATGGTGCGAGTGAGCTGGGCCGCCACACTATAACACAACTTCGGTTCCAAAACCACCCCACCACTCCCCACCCCCACACCCCACCCCTCATCCCCCTCCCCTTACTGTGTTTCTCTTCGACATGGTGCGCGTAAGCTGGGCCGCCACACCGAAGTCCCCCAGCTTGATCTCCCCCGAGTCGCTGAGCAGGATGTTGCCGCCCTTGATGTCGCGGTGCACCTTGCCTATCTCGTGCAGGTAGGCCAGGCCCTGAGGGGTCGGGTCGGGCCGGGGTAAAGGTTGAGGGTTGGGCGAGGGAACTGACTTGAGTCGACTCAAAAGTCACCTCGGGGGTAAAGGTTGAGGGTTGGGCAAGGGAAAGAGAGATGAAGCAAGAGCAGCGAGTGTTGCTAGATTCGCGAAGGAGGATGTTGCCGCCCTTGATGTCGCGGTGCACCTTGCCTATCTCGTGCAGGTAGGCCAGGCCCTGAGGGGTCGGGGGGAATGAGGGAGGAGGGTCCTATATGAGGGGAGGAGGGGAGGGTTGCGCAAACAAGGTGCGCTGCCATCTCCACTGCTGCCGCACTTGATGTTGCAAGGGAGGGATAACGAGGGGAAGCAGAGGAGCGATAACGAGGGGAAGCAAGGGAGGATGCGATCACATTCCCTGGCTGCTGCGATGCACTTTTTACATGGTGGCAAGCGGGAAAATAACACTGGCAACGTGTGAGTAAATAAACCCTCTGCACCCTCTGGCGAGACACCATTATCTCCATCGTCTTTTTTAATGAACCCTCTGCTTCTTTACGAGTTATTTCTTCCATGCCTAGTGTGGAAAGATTGGTCAGACACATAACCTACATATATATTTAGATATGTGTATACATATGTATATATATGCACACACACATATATACATAAACAATGTAAGCCCTGATTGAGTCTCACCCACCTTGATGGACTCCCGGCACACGTATGCGATCATCCCTTCCTCTAACGGCGAGTCCGTGTTGTTCATCAGATCGGCCACACTGCCCCCACCGCAGTACTCCATCACAATCTGCCGGAAGAGGTGGGCAGTGGAGGAAGCAGTGGGAAAAGTTGCAATGGGGGGGAGGAAGGGACTAAAGGTGGGGGTAACGAGGATAGAGGCGAGTCCGTGTTGTTCATAAGATCGGCCACACTGCCCCCGCCGCAGCACTGCATCACAATCTGTTGGAGATGGTTGGGGTGGGGGCGATGGTGAGGCAAGGCAGGAGGGGAGGGACTGGTCACTGGAGCACAACCAAACCAAGTGGATTCGTGTCAACGAAATTATCGAGTAGTACATTGTGTGTGCTAGCTCGCTCCTTGTTCTTATTTAAATTTCGGATCCAACTTTCGGATCCAACTTTCGGATCCAACTTTCGGATCTACAACGAACTTTACGCGAAAACACAATTCACAAAATCAACCAGGAAACGCGTATGCAAAGTGACGGATCCTGAAGATTACAATTGTAACGACGTTATTTTTGTGTCAACTCAGAAGTCACCTCGTTGGAAAAACGTAAGCCAAGTTGCAAAGTGACGGATCCTAAAGATATCACAATCACACTCAATGTCAACCTACTCACCCAGAGGAAGTCGTCCCCCTGGTAGCTGCCGTAATATCGCACAACATTGGGGTGGTTGCACAGCTGCAGCATCTCGCATTGATGCTAGGCTTGAGCATGAACCCGACCCGACCCGACCCGACCCGACTTTGCCCTACCCGATGTCGGGTTCGGGTCGGGTCGGGTCGGGTCAAGTCGGGTCGGAGCTCAGGAAATGTCAACCCGACCCGGGTTTAATAGGTCGGGTACTACCTGACCCGATTTCGGGTCGGGTCGGGTCGGGTTGGCATAGGGGCAGGGACGGGTAATTAGCCGACCCGACGGGTCGGTTTTTGTAGGTCGGGTCGGGTACCCGAGGGTCGGGTCGACCCTCCGCAAATGTTGACCCGACCCGTCAAAAAGTCGGGTTCGGGTCAGGTTACCCGACCCGACCCGACCCGTTGCTCAAGCCTAATTGATGCCCCTCGCAAGCCACAACTCGGCACAACTCTATGCATTCACATTTGCTTCACATTTGCTTACTCGCCCACAGAAATTCGCCACCCGAATTCTGCAACATCCAGTGCAGGTGCTTCAATGACATCATATCGAATAGAAGCTACTCACCCAGAGAAAGTCGTCCCCCTGGTAGCTGCCGTAGTATCGCACGACATTGGGGTGGTTGCACTGCTGCAGCATCTCTATCTCGCCCCGTATCTCCTCAAAGCCCTCCTCCTGAGATGGGGGAAGACGGGGGAGGGGGGAGAGGAGACGGGGATAGGAGCAGGAAAGGTGGAGGGAGGGGTATGGATTGCGTGGTTGCACTGCTGCAGCATCTCTATCTCGCCCCGTATCTCCTCAAAGCCCTCTTCCTGGTGGGGAGAGACAGAGACAGGAGCAGGAAAGGCGCAGGGAAGACGCAGCAGGGAGAGAAAGGAAGCGTGGAGGGGAGCAGAAAAAACGAGAGGAAGAGGTGATGCTCAAGAGGCGCGTTGCTAGGGCATCTCTCCATCTCTCCTCTCCTCAGAGCCTTAGCATGTCTCCATCTCTACTTCTAGACAAGACAAGCCCAGCAAGGCAGAGTGTGAAAGAAGCGAGGCAGTGGAGAAGTAGCATAGGGGGAGGTGACAGCGACAAGGAAAGAACAAGGAGACGGGAGGTCAAGAGAGGAGAAGTGTAGTTTTGAGACGTCTCAAAACGACAAGCACAGCAAGGCAGTGTGCGAAAGAGGAGAGGCAATGGGGCAGAAGCATAGGGATAGGGGGAGGTGATAGGGACAAGGGCACAGAGGAGAGGGGACAAGGAGGCAGGAGGTTAAGAGAGGAGAGGGAGAGGGGAGGGGACGAGAGAAAGAGGCGCAGAGTGTGTGGGAAGAACACAGGTTGGGAAGTGAGTGGACGTTTTGCGTGCAGAGATGGCATTTCTTATCACATCACATGCACGAATCAAAGCAGCCACTCTCGTGGAAATGAATGAGGGCTATATTGTGTGTTGAAAGCTCTCCACAGCAAGACCAATCAGCTAGAGCACGTTTTGTCAGTGTTAAGGGCAGCAGTTCGCTGCTTTCGAGTCAGCTCAAAAGCAGTGTCAAGGGAGGCACTTCGATGCTTTCCAACTTTTGCTTGAATCACCCTTCGTGTCAAGGCAGCCATCCTACACCTGGTAAGGATTTAACTTCCACTTACCCCTTCAGCCAAAGAGATGACTTTAATCGCCACTAGCTCCGAGCTGATCCGATCCCTCCCTTTGTACACTGAGCCGTATGAGCCCTTGCCTGCCAGGAAAGGGGAAGGAAAAGGACAGAGAAGGGGCATTAGGGTTTGATGCATTTCCGAATCGTGTATGCTCCCTTTGTACACCGACCCGCAGGAGCCCTTGCCTGAAGGGAGGGGGACAGCAACGGATTAGGTAGGGACAGACAGAGGGACGGAACGTGCCGGTCAACGACTGTAGGGTTGGAGTCCTAGTAAAGGATATCCACCGCAACATGCTAGCCCCCAAACGCCGCCCTTCTGGGCTTTGGGAGCCACGCCCTTCCAATAGCTCTTCCAACAGCTCGAATTTGAGCGTGGGGTAATCCCTTGACACGTGGATACTCGAGCCTGCAAGCACCCCCCCCCTCGCCGCCCTTCTTGGCCTTGGGCGCCACGTCCTTGTGCTCCGCCATGCTCCTCGCCGCTGCAGACAGCAGCTAGTGCCATACCCTGTGATGGGTGTCGTGCTGTGCCATGCCGTGTGATGGGGTGTTGTGCTGTGCCATGCCGTGTGATGGGGTGTCGTGCTGTGCCATGCCGTGTGCTACTGTTGGATGCCACGAGGCACCGTGACGCCCAAAGATACGTACCTAGCTCCTCCAGCAGCTCGTATTTGAGCGTGGGGTCTTCCCTTGACACGTGGATACTGGACCCCGCCACCCCCCCCCCGCCGCCCTTCTTGGCCTTGGGCGCCACGTCCTTGTGCTCCGCCATGCTCCTCGCCGCCGCTGCCAGCGACCCCGTCCCGTCCTTCTCCTCCCTCTTCTTCCTCCCCCTCCGCCCTTGCTCTTGCCAGACACCACCATGGTACCGAATTGGTCATCATCATCATCGTCCTCCTCCTCCTCTTCGTCGTCGTCGTCATCATCATCGTTTCGGCCTCGCCGTTTGGAAACCACCATGGTTCCAAACTCCCCTTCCTCTTCCTCCTCCTCCTCTTCCTCCTCTTTCTGCCGACGCCCCTTTTTCCGGGCCGATTTGCTCACGACCACGGTGCCGAAATCCCCCTCACTCTCTTCCTCCTCCTCCTCCTCCTCCTCCTCCTCCTCCCTCCTCTTCCCCTGTCGCCCCCCCTTCGTTTTACTCACAACCATCGTTCCAAAATCCCCATCCTCATCACTCTCCTCCTCCTCCTCTTCCTCCTCTCTCCTCCTCCCTCCTCTCCCTCCCCCTCCTCCCCTTCTTCCCCCCTTTCCCTCCCCATTTGCGCTCTCATACTAGCAGCAGCCGCTGCTAGCCCTCCCCCTTCCTCCTCGCTCCCCCCTCTTCCCCCTTTCCCCCCGCCTCCTCCCCCGCCTCCTCCCCCGCTCTTCCTACTAACCACCATCGTTCCAAAATCTCCTTCCTCGCTCTCCTCCCCTTCGTCCTCCTCCTCTCTTCCCCCCTTCCGCCTTCCCGCCCCTCTGCTCACCACCATTGTCCCAAAATCCCCGTTATTGTCCCCCTCGTCTTCGTCTTCCTCCTCCTCCTCGTCCCGTCTCCCGCCTCTCCCGCTGTTTCCTCGATTCACCACCATGGTTCCGAAATCCCCTCCTCCTGAACCGTCCGATTCCACCCCGCTCCCGTCATCGTCGCCTCCTCGCATGCCACGTGGCCGCATCACCATCGTCCCGAAATCCCCTCCCCCTTCCTCGTCACTATCCCCGTTATAGCTTCCCCCTTTATTATCACCTCCCCCACGCCAGCCGCCGCCGCCGCCGCCGCCGGCGCTTCCGCCGTCTCGTCTGCTTCCGGGTTTCATCACCATGGTTCCGAAATCCCCGCCGCCATCACCGTCCGATTCTTCATCGGACGGCTCCTGTGGCGGCCTGCGGCTGCCGGGCTTCATGACCATCGTGCCGAAATCCACATCCGAGTCATCTGAACCGTCCATCTTCGAATACGATCGACGGCTATCGAGGGGCTACACGGTACGGAAGTATCGCCAGCACAGAACAATCTGATCGTCTTGGTGATCTTTGAGGCGCCTCAAGAATGTATTGGTGATCAGGAGTCAAGGACCTAATCCACTTAGAGACTAATATTCAGTGAGAGTTCCATACACGTGGGAGGATAAACGCAAGGGAGGAAACCCTAGCGCATAATCCGGCAAAACTCCTCGCTGGAAGTGCGTAGCGCAGCTTTTAAATTCAAGGACAACGAAAATAGGGCCTTGTTCGGCAGGCCCTCACTCTGACTAGGTCTAACACGTTCCCGCGAACAGAAGCCGATTGGCTAGCGGCAAGCACGGGAGTGGGCCGAACTACTTGGGACGCGACGACATTGCGTCCGGTTCGCAGGACCACAATCGATCCTTGAAAAATACCGTGTTTTAACACGCTGAAAAGTTTTATACCGCATCAAAACCTCTCGAAACCCATCAAAACGAGCCTGTCCATGATCGATTTTGGCAAAACGGACGCAATGTACCACGTCCTGGTGCTGGCACTATCGAGGCAAGGCTGCGGGATGGGATTCGGTTCTCCGTGGTGATCGAAATTGCTTCAATAAAAACCTTCGTCGTATCGGTGGGTCCATAGGATAGAAGGAACAAGTACACTAAGCAACAAATTGCTACCTAAATGCATCACAATTTTGATTTTTTAGACAATGGACGTCTTCTTCTTACACGCAATATTGCTTGTCATCCGCGGTTCCTAATCCACTCCTTCTCCCCGTAACAAATCGTGGTATCGTTACAGCTTGCCACTCGAAGCCCGTGGCGCAGCCTTTGAATATCCATGGAAAATGTCGAGGCAACCGACCCCCAGAAGACGTGTGACTGCGCACAAATCAGCTTCTCAAGCGCAACCGGGATAAGCTCCGTTCGGCCGAGGGTCAGGTGTTGGATGGGACGCATCCACTTCTCTTTGCTCTTCTCGCGAACGGATGGTAACCGCACAATGTTCAACTTGTAGTCCGACATTTGATTCAACAACACTGTTAGCTCCTCCAACTGAAAATCGAACGAGGGGCAGAATGGACGGGACAAATACAGGAGAAAGGGATGCCGACAAGTATTTCACCACATGGTTGTGGCTTTAAAGTGAAGCATCGTCAGCAGCATGATGTGTGTGAATTTTGGAAAGGAATACTTTAGAGTGAGGTGTTTCCTTGCTTCCCACACGAATACCATCAAAAAACCTTCCCATATGACCCATACATCACCTCCCATGCGCACCTCGGCATGCTTGGCGTTGGTGGCAAGAAACAGGTTGTTGATGGCCAACTCCCGTGTCTTGCGATACACCCAGTAGGCCACCTGCACAGAGGTGCAAGAGACCCGACACATGGTACACAACATGGCACATTTGAGGCGCCTCAAAACCCGTGTCTTGCGATACACCCTATAAGCCACCTACACAGAGGCACAAGAGACATGGACAATTGGTACACAACATGCATATGTGTTGCATGACATGTGATGCATGACACAAGGAAAAAATGCACAAATAATACACGAACATGGCGCATGATACGTTGCACATGATACATGAAGCAAGGAACATGTGGATGCCAGACTCGTCTTTTTTTTGCAATGTGCCAGACAAGCCTCTCAAGCATACCACAGGTCAACTGCTTAAGAAAAAAAAAACCAGTTTGCACACTATATTGACTGATAACGATCGAAAAATCCATTGGAGTAGAGTAGCAGTGTTGGGTGCTAGCAGAACCCAAAAAAGGGGACCCTCCTGTGCTAGCAAGAGCAGCAATATCACCATTGCTGCTCTTGCTTGTTTATGTTGGTTGATAGTAAAGGGGACCCTCCTGTGCTAAGTACTTCTCTGTGTGCATCAACAACGGCCTTTTGAGCGAAACCAGCTTGCACGTATCACTGTGCCATTCGTCTCCTCCCACCTTAATCACATTCCTCTCCTCACCGACAAAGCCAGAGCGACTGCGCACATAACCGCTGGTGGAAATGCAGAGCCCAGAGGATGGCCAAATTCGTTGTGACGCGTAGCCGGGTCTCGCCTGGTTCTGCCTCCAAGAGGGCATTTTCAATCTACCCACTACCGATTTCCGGGCGCATGCACCCACTACTTTCCTTCACTGTCTATGCGCCCCGAAATCGGACTCGGCACTGTACGAAACCCACTACTTACACCCAACACATACTACCAAGAGTAGCAAGGGCGATATACTTTTGGGGCTTTGTTATCACCCAACACTATTACATGAAATTACACTGCTCGGATATGAATATACAGTTGCGATTAACTCAACCAAAAAACTTCTTTTAGACTATTGTTGTGCTGTGGCTAGTCTGGTGTTTAGCGAATACATACTTGCAGTGGATACATTACAAACTTGAAAATAACCCGCTCCCCCTGGAAGACCTTTCGGAAACAACCTAAACCTGTGAAACCCAAGAATCCTGAAAACCAGGTCCTAAACCCATGAATTTAAACATTGAACCTCTACTGCATGGAGCACTTACCTGCTGCACGGGGAAGTAACATGCGTTCTTGGGCCCGTGCCAGATTCAAGAAGCAGTACTCTTGAACCCCCTGAACCTGAAGCACTATGCCCGCAACCCTGAAACCCTAAGCCCTAAATCCCTGAACCCCGCACACCTGGTGCATCGAGAGCCCACCTGCTGCACGGGAAAGTAGCATGCGTTCTTGGGCCCATGCCAGAAGCAGTACGCCTTGAAGCCCACCTGCCGCCAGTGCATGCCGATGGCCTGCTCCCCCTGATAAAGGCCTCTCATGCAGATCCCCAAACCCTGAACCCAGAACACCTGTAGCACAGGGGGCCTACCTGCTGCACAGGGAAGTAACACGCATTCTTGGGCCCGTGCCAGAAGCAGTACGCCTTGAAGTCCCCCCGCCGCCAGTGCATGCCGATGAACGGCTCCCCCTGAAACGCCTCCCGCACAAACAGCTCGGCCGCCAGGAACATGGCCCCTGCGGGCTTGATCAGCAGCGCCGTGGGGCACTTGTCCGAGCGCTTGAACGGGAGGTCCAAGGCGGCTTCCGCCTCCGGCCACTCGGCGAACTGCACGTTCACCAGGTCTCCCACTACTAGGACACGGGAGGGGTTGCTGCCATACGCCTCTAGTACCTGGGAAGGAGGGGGGAAGGGGAGGCGAAGAGGGGGAGAAGCCAGTTGTGCGGGGGAAGCAGGGGGGGGAAGAAGGGGAGGGGGAATATGGGGCAGCGAGGAACATAGCCCCTGCGGGTTTGATCAGCAGCGCCGTGGGGTACTTGGCCGAGCGCTCAAAGGGGAGGTCCAGGGCGGCTTCCGCCTTTGGCCACTCGGCAAACTGCACATTGACTAAGTCTCCCACTATTAGCACCCGGGAGGGGTTGCTGCCATACGCCTCTAGCAACTGGGAAGGAGGGGAGGGCAAGCGTGCAAGGGAAAATGGAAAAGCAGGGAAAGGGACGCAGGGGGGGGGGGGGGGGGGGGGGGGGACATGGGGCAGCGAGGAACATGGCCCCTGCTGGCTTGATCAGCAGCGCCGTGGGGCCGCTACCAATGGTTTGTAACAAGCAGGTTTGACTAGAACGGGAGCAGCGCCAGCTCACCCAGATCTCAGGCAACCACGACGCGCTGGCTGCTTGTCTCCCCATGGCCGCTACCAGGACACAGGTGAGCCAGTGGCAGGAGGACACAGGTCACTGCTTATAACGAGGATGGGAGCAGCATCAGCTCATCTTGCCACTGCCAATACTCGTTGTAAGGCTCACCTGTGTCTTGGTAGCGGCCATGGGGAGACACGCAGCGAGCGCAGTGTGGTTGCCTGAGGTCTGGGTGAGCTGACACTCCTCCCATTCTATTCCGACCTGTGTCCTCCAGGCACTGCCAATACTCGTTACAATGCTTACCTGTGTCTTGGTAGCAGCCATAGGCAGGCACGCAGCCAGTGCCGTGTGGTTGCCTGAGATCTGGGTGAGCTGGCCTCTGAAGAGCGTGCGGGTGATGCGCACCCGCGTGTTGAACACAAAGCCGGGCTTGCCGATCTGGGGGGGAGGAGGCAGGAGCGGCAGGAGAGGCAGGAGACGAGGGGTGAAGAGGAGAGGAGGCTGGCACATGGGTGAGCTGGCCTCTGAATAGCGTGCGCGTGATGCGGACCCGCGTGTTGAACACAAAGCCGGGCTTGCCGATCTGAAAAAAAAAGGAGAGGGAGGAAAGGAGGGAGGGGTAAAGAGGAGGCTGGCACACAGGTGAGTGAGCTGAACCCTGAAGAGCATGCGGGTGATGCGCAACCGCATGGTAAACACAAAGCCGGGCTTGTCGATCTGGCGGGCGGGGGGGGGGAAGGGGGGGGAGGGGGGGGAGAGGGGGGCAATGTTGGCGGGAGAGGTGGGAGGAAAAGGGGGGATGAACAACAGGGAGGGAGGCAGATATAGAGCTGGGTGAACTAGCAGGGTGTTTTTTAGAATTCTCAAAAACGCCCCTAAAGGGGGTGTGAGTAATGCGCTGTGCACTTGCGTTAGGAGCGGGGCAGTTCAGCAGCAGCTCTATATCCTCCTCCCTCTCTGCACACGCCCCTGGCCCCATGCCAGCACAACACCCCCAAACCTTCCCCCCATATGGCCCCACCCAAGTACCTTCCGAAGCACGTATCCGTGGCCCCCCATGACCACTGAAGCGGGGGTCCCCATTCATGCTCGCAGCTTAGGAGCTGGGCAGTTGGGCATGCGCCCCTGGGTCAACACTCTCTAGGGCAAAGGGGTTGTCACATCACCAACACAACGCACCTTCAGCAGAGCCTCTCCATCGCCCCCAACCAGCACTGCGGCGACTTTTGAGTCGACACAAAAGTCACCTCAGTTAGGCATGCGCCTCTGGGTCAACACTCTCTAGGGCATAGGGGTTGTCACGTCACCAACACAACGCACCTTCAGCAGCGCCTCTCCATCGCCCCCAACCAGCACTGAGGCGACTTTTGAGTCGACTCAAAAGTCACCTCAGTTAGGCATGCGCGCCTGGGTCAAACACTCTCTAGGGCAAAGGGGTTGTCACGTCACCAACACAACGCACCTTCAGCAGCGCCTCTCCATCGCCCCCAACCAGCACTGAGGCGACTTTTGAGTCGACTCAAAAGTCACCTCAGTTAGGCATGCGCCTCTGGGTCAACACTCTCTAGGCCATAAGGGTTGTCACGTCACCAACACAACGCACCTTCAGCAGAGCCTCTCCATCGCCCCCAACCAGCACTGAGGCGACTTTTGAGTCGACTCAAAAGTCACCTCAGTTAGGCATGCGCCTCTGGGTCAACACTCTCTAGGGCATAAGGGTTGTCACGTCACCAACACAACGCACCTTCAGCAGAGCCTCTCCATCGCCCCCAACGAGCACGGAGGCAGGGGTACTCATGGTCTCAGGAGCCGGGCAGTTGAGCAGCAGCTCCTTATCCTCCTCCCTGCACGCGCCCTTGGGCCCGTGCCAGCACACCACCTCCGTCACGTTGATGGGCTTTACAAACTTGCGCCGGTACTCCGCCGTTGTGAATACCACCTTTCCAAAGCAGCGTCTTAAATGCTCCACGTCTAGAGCCACGTGCATGTTGTAGTTGCGCACCACTTCAGAGTGGTGGAAGGGCACGATTAGCGTGCGGCTGAGAAGCCCGGCTAGGAGGAGATGGTTCTTTATACACAGCACCCGGTTACTGATCTGATGGGGTGAGAAGATGGAAGGGGTGGAAGGGGTGGAAGGGGTGGACGATTAGAGTGCGGCTGAGGAGGCCGGCTAGCAGCAGATGGTTCTTGATGCACAGCACCCGGTTGCTGATCTGGTGGGGGACAGGGGGAGAGAGGAGGGAAAGAAGGAGAAGACAGGGAGAGAGGGAGGGAGCGACATGCATGTTGTAGTTGTGGAGCTCCTCTGGGTGATGGGAAGGGGACGATGAGCGTGCGGCTGAGGAGGCCAGCTTGCAGGAGATGGTTCTTGATGCACAACACCCGGTTGCTAATCTGGTCGAGGGAGGAGGAGGGGGAGGGGGAAGAGGGGCGGAGAATGAGATATGGGAGAGTGCCGATAGCAGATGGTTCTGGATGCATAACACTCGGTTGCTGATCTGGTGGGGGGAAAGGGGGGAGGGATGGGAGGGAGGAGTGAGATGTGATGAAGCAGCTATCACCCCCCGTTGCCCCCACCTATAGTTTAACGCAGTGCAGCGGTACCCTCCTGCTCTCTTAGGGTACAGTATCCACCTTCCCCAGAACCCGCCTTCCCCTGTATCCACCTTCCCCTGTATCCACCCACCTTCCCCCGAATCCACTTACCCCACAGTGCCTGCTGCCACGGCTGCCAGATAACACCTACCCCTGTACCCACCTTCTCCACCAGAACCCACCTGTCCTCTGACGCAGTGCAGCAGCAGGAACTTCTCTCGGGTGGTCCTCCAGGCCACTGTGCCTGCCGCCACGGCTCCCGCCTCCAACGTGGGCAGGAAGAGATTGCCAGTGCCGTTGGCATTGGCAGGGCACTGCAGCACCTCATTGTGACTGGAGGGAAACAGGACGGGCAGGGGTGGGGGGGGGGGAAACACATGCAGAGGATTAGAGGCAGTCAAGTCACAGTTCCTGGCGTCACTGCTCCTGCCGGGCACATGCGGAGGGTAAGAGCCAGTCATGCCACTGTTGGATCGTGGGTGGCGGTGGCATCGGCAAGGCACTGCGACACCGCATCGTGACTGGGGGAAAACCAGGAGCCGAGATGGGGGGGGGTGGTGGGGGAGGGGAGGGGGGGAGGGGGGGAGTGGGTGTGGGGGAGGGAATTGGGGGTATGAGAAGGTGGAAAGGGGAGTAGTGGAGGGGGGAAGTAGAACGTGCTGGTGCGTTACAGCGAGCCAAATCACACTGGCGCTAGCAAGGGCGCGGGAGGCCAGCGTTGCGACATGCGGCGTTGTGAAGGAGGGAAGGGGCTCATGGCGGGGCAGGAGCAGGGAAGGGCGAGGCGAGGGGAAAGGGGGAGGAGAAGAGAAAGGGGGAGGAGAGGGGAAAGGGGGAGGAGAAGAGAAAGGGGGAGGAGAGGGGAAGGAGGAGGAGAAGGGAAAGCGGAGGAGAAGGGAAAGGGGGAGGAGAAGGGGAGCTGGTTTTTTAGAATTCTCAAACACCAGCGTTGCGACGTGCGGCGTTGTGAAGGAGAGAAGGGGTAGCCCCTTAGGAGTTTCTGGTGGGGCAGGAGAAAGGAAAGGGGGAGGAGAGGGAGGTGGAGGAAGAGGTAGGCAGGCCGTGCTACAGGGAGGCAGGCAGGCAGGTAGGCAGGCAGGTAGGCAGGCAGTGCTACAGGGAGGCAGGCAGGCAGGTAGGCAGGCAGGTAGGCAGGCAGTGCTACAGGGAGGCAGGCAGGCAGGTAGGCAGGTAGGTAGGCAGGTAGGTAGGCAGGCAGTGCTACAGGGAGCAAAGCTACGTGCCGTGTCTGCATTTCGCCCTTCTCTTTCGCCCAAGCGAATTCCTCCCCCTCTCCCCCCCCCCCACCCCCCACGCCGCCCAGTTCGAAACTCCCCGCATTTAAAGCACATTCATTCAAAACACCTCCCATACCGCACACATACCGAGGCGCAGCGGAAACCGGACTCGTGGGTAGCACCGCTAGAACCACCAGCAGCAGCGGCACGAGCCGCGACAATCCCCAGGTGGCACTCATGATGGCACTACCGCGAGTCTCATGAATATGTGTAGTGCGACGCAGTGCTGTCGAGAGTGGTTCAAAGCGGTTCAGCTGGATTCGGTACGGGGCGCTGCGGCGCAGTGCGAATGGGAGGGCTGGCCTCCAAAGCGGTGCAGTGCGGCGCTACGGAGGAGTCCTGCAAGGCGAGGATCTATTTGCGACACTAACGAACAGAAATCGTTCGTTCTACACCAATTTCCCGGGCAAAGCAATAAAATAGGAAGCGCCTGAACAGAGCAGAATGCTCCTAGAGGCGTCTGACCGTTGGCAGGAGCCAGCTGAGCCAATAATTGTAGACAATGGCGAGCATATGGGTTGACTAAAAAGACTCAGTCGGTTTGACGAGAAATGGCGATCCCACCAGAGGTTGTTGGAGCCTGTAACTAGGTGTAAATAAAATTATGTTTCCTTATCACGGGTTTTAGTTAGTAAGGCATACACTGCTATAATGGGGTTGCCGTGTAGCTCTGCCACGAAATTCAAATCGCGGTACCCAAATATGGCCTCCGAACGAGCCGCATGCATTTTGTCTGCCTTGCTGTTTCATGCCTAGATCTGACGCTTCGTGCCAATTTACGAACCACACGTTGAAGCTCTGCCGAGCCACGATCGTGTGCTCTAGGCTAGCTATATACATGATCCCTGCTGTTTTGATGTTGCCTCAGTTGTATTGTTTCCTCGTTACTCAATCCTTCGACTCACGCTCTATGCGCTTTATTACACCTGGCCATCAGAGCCAACGATCCTCAGCCTTGCGCTCTAGTTCCGCTGCAATACCGAAAACTTAGGGCGGCTGACTATCAAACTGAGAGAACTGAATGATTGACTAGTGGGAGAGTACAGATAGATATACCTAAGTATTGTACCCTCTAAGAGGTGACCCTATACAGTCTATGCAAACATAACAACTACACATGTTTGACACACCCCCTAGACTGCATAGGGGAATGTCCTGAACAAGCAGCTCAGGGCGGCACCACTAGTCCAACCTCTGAGACAAGGGTCTAAAAGACCAGTCAGAAGGAGTACAGACAAGGCAAGAACAAGACCAGGGCGGCACTACTAGTCCAGCCACTGGGAGATGACACAAGTCCAGTCTGAGTATACATATAAAGGACAGTACAAAGTCAAGGCCCTAGCAAGTGAGAGGCTACAGGAACTAGACCAAGCTATACACAATGCCGCTAATGATCTTTAGGCGCAAGCGCCTTCATAAAGATATCAGCTGTGTTGGCACCTGAGGCCAAGTGTACTACGTGAGCCTGGCATTGCTGCTGTAGCTCACGCAGGAGGAAGTACCGCAGCTGAATATGCTTCGCTCTGCCCTCGAGTCGAGGCTCCTGACACAGGAGGATCATGGCCCTGTTGTCAGCGAACAGGACCGGGGCAGAGCTAGGCCGCTCACCTAAGTCAGTGAGCAAGAAGGTCAGCCAGCGGAGCTCCTGTGCCGCCATGGCACCAGCGTATATCTCACCCTCACAGCTCGACTGGGCAGCAGACGAGGAGCGGGTAGCTCTCCACGAGACGGCACCTGAGCCAAGGGTGAAACAGTAGCCCTGGGTAGACCTGAGTGTCTCGGCGTCGTCTGCCCACGAAGCGTCTGTGTGTCCAGTAAGGACCACTGGCCTGCGTCCTCCTAGCACTAACCCCATGCCCGATGTACTTGCAAGATAACGCAAAACCCTCTTAGCAGCAGACCAGTGCTGAGGTCGGTGTCTGCCTGTGGCCACAAAGCGAGCCAGGATGCTGAGAGGGTATGCGAGATCGGGGCGAGTGCAAGTCATCGGGTACATGAGGCAACCCACCAGTTCTGCGTAGGGGCCGCTAGGCTCTACCGACTCCGCAGACACTGGAGCGGAGAGTCTGTGGTCTACAGGCAGAGGGGTGGGCTGTGCAGAGGAGAACTGAAGGCTGAACCTCTGAAGGACCTGGCGCACCAAGTGTGACTGAGTCGGGGTGATGGTGCGCGATGCTCTGTCCCTGGAGATCTGCAAGCCAAGGTAGCGGCGCAGTTCTCCAAGGTCAGTGCAGGTGTGTCTCTTCAGCAGCTCTGCCTTCACGGAGGCTAGTGCGTCCCTGTCTGCTGTGGCAAAGACCAGGTCATCGACGTAAACAAGGATGTAGAACGGAGTCTGGCCAGCACGAACGAAGAGTGACGGGTCTGCGGAAGACGGAAAGAACTGCAGGTCAGCAAGCGTAGCACGGAGAGTGTCGTGCCACTCACGGGGAGCCTGGCGCAGGCCGTAGACGGGGCGCCGCAGGAGCCACTAGGTCCCAGGAGGGAAGGTGCCAGTAAAGCCCTAAGGGCGACGTAAGTAGACCTGCTCGTGTAGGCTGCCCTGAAGGAAAGCAGTGGAGAAATCGAGGGAGTGAAGCTCGTAGTCACGCTGAGCAGCTAGGTGTAACAGAACCCGAAGAGTAGTCATCTTCGGGGTCGGAGCGAAGGTCTGGAAGAAATCCACCCCCTCACGCTGACTGAATCCTCTAGCCACGTAGCGCGCCTTGAACACAGTCGGCTCTCCAGGAGGGCGCTTCACCTTGAAGAGCCAGCGGCCATCGACTACGTTCACCCCAGGTGGGGGAACTGCGTCGACGAAGGTGCCGGTGGATCTCCAAGATGCCATCTCCTGCTCCATGGCAGCTATCCACTGCGAGGCCCAGGGTCCCGGTGTCGCCTCAGCGTAAGTGCGAGGAGTCGGGATGTCGAAAGCGTCTGGGTCACCCTCAGGGACTAGCTGCATGGAACAGAGATGGGGAGCAGCCTCGGACAGGAAAGCAAGCTCGAACTGGCGGTCCTCCAGGACGTCATTGCCAAGGGCAGGAGCACCCCCGACAGACGGAGGACAGGCAGGGTCAGAGACCAGAGCGGTGGCGTAGTCAAGGCGGCGGGTAGAGGCGAAGTCAGCGACCGCAGCGACAAGAGCGTCAAGGCACGAGACCGGAACAGACGGGTCGGTAACCAGAGAGGCAAGTACCCGAGGAACAAGAGGACGAGTGGCACGAAGGTAGTCAGACAGCGGGGGGGTGCAACAACAAGGGAGGATGGAGGAGGCGACGGCAGAAGGGGAGGACGAGACGCGTGGGAACGAAGCAACATAGGGTGGGAGCGCAAGACAGGCGAGGCAGGACGAGCACGGGAGGACGGTGAGACCAGACGTGCGACGGAGGAGTCGGGTCAGGAGACAGAGGAGGAGACACAGGAGGGGAACGAGGGGAAGACGGGCCGGGGACGAGTCCGGCGGAGGGAACACAGGGCCGGAGACGGGAAGAGGAAGAGACGGTCGGAGAGGAACAGACGCAGGGTCGGGGGACGGAAGGCCGAGCGGGCGAAGGGCTGACACCGGCGGGGACTGCTGCTGCGGCGGCACAACGACGACACCGGGTCCGCAAGCTGCTCCTCGGCTACCACCGGCAGACTCCACACCAGCACCCCCAGAGGGACCACCCCCAGGGCGACCGGGACTAGCACCCCCAGAGTCAGCGAACGGGTGCTGCGACGGCGGCGGCGGCGGCAGCAGCGGCAGGTGCGGTGGAGGAGGGGACTGGGGAGGGGACGCCGGGGGAGGGGCGGCCGGCGAGGACTGCGCAGCAGGGCCATCAGAGTCAGAAGACTCCTCAACAGGGTCCACCGACGGGAGGGGGGTGACGTGGGACACACCAGAGGGGGCAGGACGGGGAGGAGGAGGAGGAGGGGCAGGGACTACCGGGAAGGAGTGACCAGGAACAGGGGGGGGGAAACCGGGGAACCGCGGTGGGGGAAGCGACGGTAGTAGGAGACGGACTCGTCAAAGGTGACGTCGCGAGAGTGAAAGAAGCGGTGAGACGGCGGGTGGTAAAAGTGCCAGTCGGACGCGTCAAGGGAAAAATTGAGGAAGACACAGGGAAGGGTGCGGGCAGTGAGCTTGTCCGGGCCAGAGGCACGGACGTGAGCAAGGCAGCCCCAAACCTGGAACGCAGACGCGTCACCAGGAGACCCAGTCCAAAGACGGGTCGGCAAAACCTGCGGCTGCTGGGGGTGCGGCCACAGGTTAAGCTGGTGAGAAGCGTAGCGCACAGCGAACGGCCACAGAAAATGGGGTGCACCGGCATGGATCATGGAGATGCGAGCACCCTTCATGACCAAACCGATGCGTCGCTCAGCGATCCCATTCTGCTGTGGGGAGTCCGGTAGGGTGAACGTCTGGGTGATGCCCTCCGCACGACAAAAGCGACCAAGGACACCTGAGGCAAACTCGCCACCACGGTCGGAGTGAAGACGCAAGACAGGGAGACCGCGGTGGACACGCGCAGAGACAAGCCAGGGGATGAGAGCGCCAGGCACGTCGGCCTTGCGCTCCAGGGGAAAGACTGTGGTGTAACGAGTGAAGTCGTCGACAAGCACAAGGAAGTAGCGCTCTCGACGCGGCCCAGGACAGGGGGGGGCCCCAGACGTCCAGGTGCAGGGTCTGCAGCAAGCGCGGTAGGGGGAAACGAGGAGGAGTGAGGGCACGGCGAAGCGACCCTCGACACAAGGCATGCAAGGTG